TTTATGAACCATTTTTCACTTTTTTTTTATATATTTTTTTATTCCGTCCCGAATCCATCTCTGAGGAAATGACTAGGTGTTACGATGTACTACACTTGGCAGGAAATGTGAAAGGATTGCCTTTATTCCCGTTCAATGTATATCATTTGAAAATGGATAAATCGTTCGAAAGATGCTAGGGTGAATAAGTTATCGAACTAACATATATATGCTAATCCTAGATCGTATGGTGTATAGAAACCACTATATCGAGATATAGGGTTAAGGCGATTAAGCAAGCGGTTCGATTGCGCGAATTAAACGCTAATTGCCCTACGTGGTCCTAGCGGCCGATCGCCGTGCAATTATCGAAATCGTTCGATTGGAAACAGTAGCAACAATCGATACCCCTACTCCGGCGACCTGTCGGTGAAAAATGGTTCCCGGTGTCCATTAAAGCCCAACAGGAAGCATTATTTTTAGATGAACCTTTTACAAAATTTTCTTAATCCTTTTACTTCTAAGCAAATGTTGGATACACACATATGCCTTTCGCAATCAAAGGGTTAAATAAAAAATTAAAGGAAGGAACTTTTCTAGCCGATATGATTATTTTTAATAGGTTCCTAGACAATAGGATAACAAATTTGAAGCATGCAACTCTGTAGTCAGATTGAACTATTGAGAAATTGAATTAATTTTCGGGGGTCATCGACGAAAGACAAAGCAAATTTGGCAAACAAGGACACGAGACGAAAATACGTTTTTCCGAAAATATTTTTCTGCTATTCGATGCAATCCAGGCATATTGAATTTCAAATAAAAAATTCATCACTGGGCTTGGGAAAAAGTGTCTGGAAAAAATGCTGACCTAAAACCCGGTCAACGGGAGTGTTATTTGATTTTTTCTCGACGAGATAAAATATAAAAGTGAACTCTGCGGTTAAAAGTTTGTTCTTTTTTTTAATTTTTTTATTTCAATTTGACGAATCGCATGGGGATAGGTTGAACAACATTCGCGTCTTAATTTGGTCAGCATTTATCGAAGTTATTCCTTAAAAAGATAAAATAGAGAAACATGTAGTATAGCACTGAATAGATTTCTTCATTGTGATGATATATTCGATGAGGGGGAAAAAATTGGAAAATTTCTCTTGCGGTTACAATGGCTAAGACCTGTTGTCAGCCTCGTGAATGTATAAATTATAAATTGAACCCTTTCGGAGTGCTCTCTTAATGGATAATATTGATTCGATGCATATAACCAGACGAAACTCCATGCACGGTGATGAATTAATGGTCTACTAGTAATTTCGGTTAGAACACTGGCGTTTAATTTATTTGTCGGTCGAACAAGGTCTCGACAGACGTCGCCGAGCGATACGTTCGAAAGTTAACTAATCGAAGCCTCACTTAAATTAATAGTCTACTCTTGTAATATCGGGTACCAACACTGGTGTTTGATGTACTCGAGGTTCTATTACGTTAAGTGCTCCCCACGGTGCTAAATGCTCGGTCGGCAGAGAAAAAAGAAACCATCAAATTGGGAAGAGAATCAGGGAAATAAAAAAGTTAAAAATTTTCTTTAATAAAAGGTTGAACGATAGATCGAGGGTTACGCGAAGAAGAGGGAAGAAGTAAGCCGAAAATTTTAGGATATGAGGCTTCCTTTATAATCATGTTATTAGAAACAATGGACAAAGTGAAGGGTAAGTTCCGTCTTATAAAAGACTCGGAACTCATACAAAATGCGAAGATCCGATCCGTGTTATGTGAGCATCGCGTTATACGAGCCTCGGAACCCCTACAAATTATGGGGATACATTCTCGCTATAAAAGAAAATGAAAGAAAGAGAGGAGAGACCGTTCAAGTGCCAAGTGGATTCAACAATGTCGTGGAAACTGATCGCCGAAGAAAACATTATATGGAAAAGCGGTTAATTAACCTTTTCTTTGGAAAGTAATAGTTGATGACCCGTTGTGAAAAAGAATAATTCATCTCTTTATCGTTCTTCATCTTAGGTCTCATTCTTCGTCTTAGTTTATTCGCGTTAATTAAAACTCATGTAAGTAAGTATTAAAAACAAGTGATGATAAAATTAATCAGTGTTCCAAGGTTGGTTCATTTTTATGGCCTTTTTTAATGTCTCGGTTGTCTGCTCTCTCATTAAATAAATCTACGAAACAACAGAGAGGCGGCATAGTAAGAAAATATTTCATATGGTTCATTTTTAACTTCGGATCAAATTCTTCGTCTCATTTTATCTGCGATAATTGAAAATCATGGAAATAAATATTAAAAGAAGAAAAGATATGATTAAGTTAAATGGCATCTTTCTGAGTTCGAACCATTTCTTGTGGTCGCTTTTATGTCTGGCTCATCTATTTCTTGCAATAAATGATCATCATGGAAAAATATTTCATACGGTTGCGTTTTTAACCTTGGACCAAATTCTTCGTCTCGTTTTATCCGCGATAATTGAAAATCATGGAAATAAAGAAAATATATGATTAAATTAAATCGCATCTTTCTGAGTTCGGACCATTTCTTGTGGTCGCTTTTATGTCTGGCTTATCTATTTCCGCAATAAATGATCATCATGGAAAAATATTTCATACGGTTGCGTTTTTAACCTTGGACCAAATTCTCCGTCTCGTTTTATCCGCGTCAGGTGAAAATCATGTAAATAAGTATTAAATAAGAGATAATGGCAAAGTTGAGTTGCAAGATTGGTCCATTATCATGGCCCGTTTTATGGCTGGCTTATCTGCTTTTGCGATAAATAACGAATAGGCGAAACAACGGATAAGTGGCATCGATTCGCCCCAGCATCTCGACAGTCTGAGATATATCCTAAACGGAGAAACTGGAACGCTCCGCGTTCGGAGCGGCGTGTCGTAATGGCCAATATTTCGCGTCCCGGCGCAGCCGTCGGAATTGACCGCCGCTTAGATTTCACCTGAAATTCCGCGAGGCCATTTAGAAACGGTTCGTCAGTTAGTAACGGTTAGACGCAAGACACGACTGCTGGTGCAACGCTTTACATGGCACCTGCCACGACGTTCTCGGGCGTAAATTTACTCGTTACTCGTCGCTACAAGCGTCATTACTTGCCGCCACTTTTCCTAGCAATATCGACTTCGCGATATTCTTTGCGGCTTTCAACCTGCTCTCTTTTGTCCAGAATAAAGGGGAATAATTTATTCATAGCTTTGCGCTGTTGCAAGAATTTAATTCTTGGGACATTTTCCTGTAAAATTGATAGATTGTCTGGTTTTCTATACCAGTAAGTTATTATTCCCGAATAGGCTTCAAATATTTCCTTCCAATCTGGTCTAAGATGTCGTGACGTCCTGTTACTTCTGGCAGTGCGATTAAAAAGTAATTCGATATTTACGTAGCATTGATTTTCTTTTTTTTTATTATATGGTTAAAAATTAAAATCGGAATGCCGTAACCTGTTGCGATTTTCTATATTGTACTGTAAGAGCATTACGTTGTGTAAGACTTTTCTGTTATTGTCTTTCATTTTTAAAAACGAAAAAAAAAATGACAAATTAAGTTCAAGCTCATGGAGAGAAGATTGTTTATACTCAGTAGGTTTTTCTAATGTTAATGTTTGATGTTTAATGGCACTCGAAGGGTCAGGAACGTTTGGTTCTCTTTTCTAAACGTTCTTGCCGGGGTATTTTCTTGTTTTGGGAGGGTTTTTCTACATTGCGACAATCTTCCGTTCTAATTTGCATATTTTGCAAGCTAGGAAAGGACATTTACGGAAAAGTGCGCAGAGTCGGCGTCGTTTTCTCTTTGCAAAAGTCGTTTCTCCGCATTGCGACATCCTTTTTCTGTTCTAATTCGCACTTTTCCCGTAGGCTGACGAGGTGAACACGCGCGAAAAGTAAAAATGTATATAGAGGTCCGCTCGTGGCCACGTGACATAATTTTCTCCTTACGAAGGTTGGGAGAAAATCTCTGCTTTTCCGCGAGTACATCTAAGCCGACCGAAAGTTATCCGTTTCACGAGAACTTCTCCGTAAACATGTTATCCGAAAGAAATTTACGTATTCACGCAACCCGCGGGCCACATTTCTTTTTCAACTTTACTTTCCACATCTCTTACTAAGACGTTTAATTTATACACCAAAAACGAGAAATTTAATCTCCCCGTCTTTTTCAAATGAGACTCGTTAACGTAAAAACGTCTTTTCCCCCTGTTTTGTCTGAAAAACGATGAAAGCTCCCTATATTAATTAAAAATATTTATAGGGACCTTTTAGAAGAATAGCCTATTGCGATGAGAACTCTTGTAAGCAAAGAAAAATGTATAGCGATTTTGTAATCGTTTACATTGATGCGTTATCCTCTCGGTTAAGGAGATGTGAAAGTGGCATCTGAAAGCTCAATCGTTCATAAAACTTGTCTACGAACTGGGTGTCTCAAATCGTTCCATACTTTAAAACGTGAATATGGAGACCCTAAGGTATGTCCTGAAACTCGCGAAATTTCATTTCTTATAAACTATTTTTAGAATACCTATAAACAAATTTGAAAAGAATTGAAATTTCATGAGTTTCAGGACGTTCCTTATAGTCTCCCTATTCACGTCGTAAAGTTTCAGACTATTCGGTAAACCGAGTTGGAAGAAAAGTTTTATAAACAACACCTCTTCGACGCCACTTTCACATCGCCTTCATAATCGACATTTAAAGTGAAATAAGAATATAACACATGTAAGAGATATATAAAAACGATGCCCGAACGCGTATGGGGATTTCGCGATCTAGTAATGAATAACAATTAACAATATGTAATGGTTCCGTTTAACTTCGAAATTTCACTTCCAATGCGCGCGACGATTTGTTTCTTGTTTTCTTTTTTTTTTTTTTCAGTTTGAAAGAGTAAAGAAGTCCTATTTCGCATTTCTCTCTCCCCGTTCCCTGTTCTCTGCCCCCTCTTCGCTTTTCCACGCTCTCTGTGTATTTTGTAAAACGAGCTAAGAATTTCCCCGTCTTGTTTGCAGCGGTCCTCTTCAGGGAGGCGGCGGGGAAGATGAGGACCTCGCCCCGAGGGAAGTGAGTCGAGAGTCGGCACCCTGGCGCGCGGCAAATCGGGCCAGAGGCCTGGCTCCTCCTCGTCGTCGTCTTCGTCCACGGAGAAGCTGCAAAGGATGCCAGGACCCGCGGCCGAGAGACCTCGCGCCCATCGACTCACCGACATCGAACCGCAGGCGGCCAAAGTAAGCCACTTTTCGGATATACTCTCTCTCTGCCCTCCAACCTTCCCCTCCGACCTTCTGCGACTCCCGGGATGCTCGCGAGCATCCCAAAGGATTGATCCTCCACCCCGTGTGTGCGCGCACCTCCTTCGAAACCCGGTTAACCCCTTGCGCTACAATGACGAGTCAGACTCGTCATGAGGTTTTAAGGTGAAGTGAAACACGTCGAGGAACTTGATCGACGTCGATAAAGAAGATTTTTCTAAATGCCTACGTTGCCGGCGTTCGTTTTTATATTGATAGCTGTATCGAATTATATTGGATATTGTACCAAATGGCATACTCCACCTATCGTTTTCGTATAATAATTATAAAGAAACCGAAGTAAAACTCTAGAAATCCTCTGGATTCATGCTTTCTAGGGCCCTAATTGACTGCAGAGGGACCCCCTGCGCCATTTGTGATTTCCAGGTGAATTAAATTTTCACTCCGAGACCTCGTATTCCCATCGTTTTAGCATAGAAGCGCATACAACACTTTTTATTGCCTTTATCCCGTTCAAATGCGAGTTTATCGATTACCAGAGTGTTCTAAATTGTTGTAAAATTGTCCTGACCCTTTCGATTCTCATATCAGAGCCTTCGATAATTGCATATTGATCGAAATATGAGAACTGGACGCCATTTTGATTCTGGTCTGGGCTGAGTTAAAAAATTTGTTTGAAAAATCCAAATTTTGAATGTGTCATGACAATTCTTAGATGATCAGGAGTGATGTGTTAAAGTTTCAGACGGTTCTATCCAATATCCTTAAAAAAAGTGTCTTATTCGGATCGACTGATTTGAGGGGGGTTTCACTTCACCTTAATGGCCAACTGCGCAGTGACGAAAAAACTGAAAACGGGTGGTGTCACCGAAAGAAGAGGGAAAGTTAAATTGTTTCCACGTCCCGTAACTTCATGTTTGGAGCTTCTTTCATTTTTATTTCATTCGGTTTGTGAATTAGATCTAGGAGTTAGCGATTAAATGGGGAGAGGGTGAAAAGAAAAAATTCTTCCCGGAATAGCGTAGCTTTATGGAGATTCCATTTGTGTCCAATTTAGAGAAAGTCCTCGAGAGTTAGGAATTAACGCCTAATAGATAGGGGGAATTAATTTTCGATAGTGGATGAGGTGATTTGTAGCTCTCTTCGAGGGCCTTTCCTAAATTGGGAGAAGTCACGATACGTGTCAAGGGCGAGTAGAATATCAGAGTGTGTGTATAAAAAGATAGTTGATTTCGTTTCCGTTATTTCCCTGGATTGAAAATTATTTCACGTACTCGGATTACCGGAAACTCAGGGGAAGCCTTTAAATTGATTTCTCCTTATCAGAAGAGCTCTTTGCAGCGTCTCCATTTTTACCTGATTTTCAATTGGTGTAAGAAGTTTCAATATTTTTTTTTTTTTTTTTTCAGGGTAGATCAAGGTACGCGATGAGAGAAATGATCCAACGAACCGTTGATTCGGTCTTGATTTTTTTTTTTTTTTCTAAGCGGCTCATCTCGGCCAAAGATTTATTACCAGGAGTTATCTGCTCAGGATGGAATTCTCCCCTTGACTTTTCGATTNCTTATCAGAAGAGCTCTTTGCAGCGTCTCCATTTTTACCTGATTTTCAATTGGTGTAAGAAGTTTCAATATTTTTTTTTTTTTTTTTTTTCTAAGCGGCTCATCTCGGCCAAAGATTTATTACCAGGAGTTATCTGCTCAGGATGGAATTCTCCCCTTGACTTTTCGATTTCGTCAAGCTCCGAAATTTTATCACTCCGATCAAATAAGTGGAATAACATTAACCACCTGTTTCTAAATGCACGTAATAAAGCGACTTGTTTAATCGGCGCTTTTCCCTCGCATGCCCGACAACGTGCCTAGACTTTGCCGTTTAGAGGGGACCTACTTTCTTACTTATATATACGCGTGTACACGAACGCGTAGAAAGACGTTAATTGAAAAGGCCCCTCCGCGGGGCCTTTTATTTCCGATAGGCCAGACGTTAAAAAGTGAACTCGACCCATTTGTCATTAATTATACGCCACGGCCGATGATGAATAAGGTCGGGCGACATTTACGAGCCTTTTCCTCGCCTCCTCGATAATTTCAAAGGAAAGTTGCGTGTCCACGCACCGCGAACGCGGCATTAATTTTAGACGGCTCACCGGGATCTTCTTTTCTATTTTTCCTCCTTCTTTCGGCGTTTCCCCCCTTTCTTTTTCTCTCGATTTTTCTTTTTTATTTTTTTTATTTTTTTTTTCTTTTTCCTCAATGCGCCTTCTCGCGCGCGGCATTAATATTAAAACGTGCACGCATCTACGTTGAGCAGTAATGGGCCTCTGCTCTTCGGGGCGGGCGGTCGATAAAGCAGGGCTCTGTTCTAACTTCGCGGGGGTTCTTTTTCTTTCCTCGCTCTTTTGCACTCCCTCGCACTCAGAAAAAAGTACTCCGTACGGGGAAGAAAGTACGTAACGTCGCGGTAGCCATCACCGAGTCGTAATTTCAGCTTCCCCATTTTTTTTTTCCTTTTTTTTGTTTTCACTTGTTTAAATGTCCCGACTACATTAGGAGCCATCCGTGAGATTTCACTTAAATTCACAAAGTCGTTGGGAAATTATTGCGAATTTTCCACCAGAGTTGTAAACATGTTTCTCTTATACCTGCAATTGTCATTTTTAACGGCATAACCGTGTTCCTAATTGCAACATATGGGTATTGCGGGGGGAAATTCGTGACATTTACAAGCTCAACTTGTAACGTTAACAGCGAAGCACCGTCTGTCGTGCCACTCGCGTCACAGAGCTGCTTCATTTCGCTTTAACGTCGAGTAATCGTTACAATGATTGGCCCGACTGTGTTTCGCTTTGATTCACACAGGAGAGAGAGAGCCCCAAGGCTGCTCTCCCGCGTTTATCTTGCAAAATGGTTGAATTCACCGTAATTAAGGTGTTATTGTTACCATTTCACGTTACGAAAGCTTATTTCCATCTACGTTTCGAAACTGCTGGGACCCTTGATGTATCTCCGAGGTGTAACGATCCCAGGCAAACGTTTCTATTCGATGCGAGGACCGAGTTTACGGTTTTTGGAAAATTTGTCGAATTTTTCGTCAACTTTTATTTGCTACTCAATTAGGTATATCGAGTATACCAAATTCCGCCCCTCATTCGATATCTGTAAAGCAATGGCCCCGGATAAACTATTTGATGCAAGGACCGAGAGATCGCGGTTTTGGAGTTTGTAGAACTTTTTACTTACTTATTCCTCTTTTTTTTTTTTAAGTGGTTCTAAAATAATTTCACGAGTTTCTGGGTTATAAAAAATTCCCCTCTTCGTTTGAGGTTCTGGGAGAAATGTAAAACGAGGCTTCCGGAACGCGGAAGTCGGCCTTATTTCGCCAGTCGACCCGCCGGTTCGTATTTCCACGTTGCTCGCGCGAGCAAATCGATAAGGTCCCTCGCGCCGTGACCCAGCATCCGTTCGGTCCAGCTTCCTCGATTCGGCGAGGGACGAGGTCAGCTCCCACTGCAGCAGCAATTTGTAGATAGCGCCAATTTGTCGATACAGCGTCAATGCGAGGCCACTGGTTAGAAGGTTGATATCGGCAGAAATAACGGGTACCATCTGGTCCCATTTGGTCTGTCTCTTTTTATTATCAATTTTTTGATTACGTCGACTCCACCTCCGAGCCAACGAAAGGAACTAATTACTCCACTCGGCTTAAAGCCTTGAAATAGTTCTATCCGAGATCCGTGGTATAATGATGCGTTCGTACAATTAATTTCAACCCTTATTTTTGGAGCAACCCTTTTTTACTCTCCTTGAAAGCAAACAATTATTTCTAGTACAGAAAAAAAAAAAGTAAACACCGTCTCTTAAAAATCGTTGACGGTTTGATGTATATAGATCGACCCTATCATAACGTCTTAACGTGATATGAAAGGGTTATTCTATATGTATGTATATAAAACGTCAACGGAATTAGGGGCGGTGCAAAAATCCGAAGTTTTATAAATATTTTGACGTTTTGTTATACATAAAACGGTCCTTTCATAACGCCTTAACTTTCTTAATGGTTTTTCTACTTCTTCGAGTCGATGCGGTCTTAACTCGTTGGCACGGAATTAGGGGCGGTGTTAACTCCTTAACTTACAATATCGTGTTAAAAACGTGGTATATCAATCGGGTCAAACGTGAACAAAACGTATGAGAGACGTGGTATGTCAATCGGGCCAAACATAAACAAAACGTATGAGAGACGTGTGAGACGTTGATTGTTCAGCCAAACCGTGAAATGACCCGATGTATGACCGACACTTTTGTTATTTATGGCACGCGCTATTGGAATTTAAATCGTAAGGCAAGGGGTTAAAATCCGAAATTTTATAAATATTTTGGCGTTTTGATATATATTCCCTTTCATAACGTCTTAACTTTTTGGATGGTTTTTCTATTTCTCCGAGTCGATGCGGCCTCAACTCGTTGGCACGGAATTAAAGGCGGTGTTAAAATCCGAAACAGAGGATGTTTCGTTTCGCCGGTTGATAGCGCCCGATTCGGGCGCGCCGAGTGGTCGGGAGCACCGCGCGATGCGCGGAACGTGGAACGCGAAACGTGGAACTCGCGATATCGAGCCCCGCCGTCCCGCCCGATTCCCGGCTCCCCGAAGTATCCCGAAGGGCCGACCCAGTTTCCGGGTCGAGGCCTGGGGAACCGCCGGATAATCTCGCCGTTGTCCGCGCCTAATGGAGAAGGGCCTTCTCTCTGGGCTCGCTCCGAGGAGTTTCTTGGAAGAGGAAGAAAAATTGCCGTCGAACCTACGGCCGGGTGCGACCACCAACGGCTACGCTACAAATGTCGAGAGATCCCCCCCTAGAAATGCGACATTACGCTTTTGATACGTCAGACTTGTTTAGAAGGATTTGGTATTTTATTTTCCTCCGAATTGTCGGTATATCAAGATTCTTATTTAACTATGAAGATTTCTTGAGG